GTAGGTTGGAGACCATCGCTAGGTTGAAGGCCATCGCTAGTAGGTTGAAGGCCATCGCTGGTAGGTTGGAGACCATCGCTTTTAGGTTGGAGGCCATCGCTAGTAGGTTGGAGGCCATCGCTAGTAGGTTGGAGGCCATCGCTAGTAGGTTGGAGGCCATCGCTAGTAGGTTGGAGGCCATCGCTATTAGGTTGGTTGTTACTATCTTTAACTTCAGTCACTGGTCTCAAGTCAAAAAGACTGCGGAACAACGTGTGATGAGACGTCGTGCCTGTGGAAAACTGTGGGCAATTGCCTGAGCACAGCAAGCACAAGCTGGGAGAATGCATTGGAGAGCGAAATCACACCAGAAATGTTCAAATGAAGTATTGCGTCGACAAAACACAAAAGACTTGAATGTGTAGTCATAGTCAAAAGAACAAACATGAGAAAACCATATTGATATATATATATATTGATCGCTAGTAGGTTGGAGGCCATGGCTAGTAGGTTGGAGCCCATCGCTAGTAGGTAGTCGAAAGAGCTTAACATGATTAAAAACAAGAAAAACAAAAAAAACAATATTATATGTCAATATGTCTTTTTCGCATGTTAAGCTCTTAATATATTGACCCTTCTCCGATGCCTGCACAGCCTGATCTGCGCGCAGCATTGAGCTGTAGCCATTCACCAGTAGCTTCAACACAATCTCCGGACGGACCTGCAATGGTCCATTGATCACCCCAAAACGTCTGAAAGCAACGTCTGGTATGGATGAGTAGATCAGTACCGCCTCTTGGCTACAGTGCATCCACTGTTTAAACCGTGCTTGAAAATACGGTCATTTGGACTATGTTCATTGGTGATTCCTTAAATGACTGTGTTCAGGGATGGACTCTTGGCAGCAGATCCCCAAAGACACGAAGCAGACACATCACCAGTTGAAGGGTTTTTGCCGATCGAAACACAGTTGTCGAGCCTGGGCCGACAGTCTTCGACCGTTCTTCTCCTGCCAAGCAAGAGTGAAGTTTCAATCAAGCGTCCTCGAGACAACCCATCTACCACAATTCACTTCCCCGCCCATTTGGGGGAGCAAACGAAGCACACGCCGTTCGCACACGCCGTGGCAAAATTCCACATCCTTTGAAACCGGCTTTGAAGGCTGTGATGTGCTTTACTCTTGAAAAAAAGAAGAACTTAGAAAACACCATAGAGGTCAAGAATACTCCCATCTCCCGTGCCGGCGAAACCCGTTGTTCGGTCCATCCGCAAGATCCGGTGCAGCAGCCCAGGTGCATCCACGAAGGCCGCCTATGGGGACTGCAAGGCACCAGGTAAACATCTGGTTGCTATAGATTGCTATAAACATATGACTGACTTGTGAAGGATTACCAGAAGCTGAGCAAGAGTAGGTCCTGATCATGGCAATGGAAGCCCTGTGCTTATTCCAGTGACTGCAATCCACGCCGTCGCTTCTACCAGCCAGCATCACACTGTCTTTTCTTCCCTGCACATGGAGCTCCCTGAGCTACTCGGTCCCGAAGGATCGCACTGCAAAAGGATCGCTTCGGGCCACCGCAACAGGATCGCTTCACGCAGGGTTCGTGTGCGGTGATGCTTCGTGTGATGGTCGGATCCTGTGGCTCAAAAGGCTCGTCTTACGGATCCATGAAACGAACGGCTTCCGTCTTTCCACCCTCAAAACGATGAGACTCCATGGATTCAATGTTAGGAGCGATCGGACGCTACGAGGGCCGGGGCGAAACTGGCATCGCTACGAACGGAGCGATCGGACGCTACTAGGTGGACTTTACACCTCGTCCCTCATGCAGCAAATCCCGAGACCGTCACGGGACGCGAGGCTTGGCACGCTTCAGCAGTCGTCGGGTCGGGGGTTCGGGGCCGGAGGTAGTCCAAACGGCCTGGCGCCAGGGGCGCACGGAAGGGTCAGAAAGCAAAGAAGATGATGATGTTTTTTACATGTTAAAAACATGCACTGTGATCGTTCCAACCTACTAGCGATGGCCTCCACCCAAGAGAGATGGCCTCCAACCTAGAAGCATAGCCTGAAAGGCGGTGATGACACTGCTGCCCTCAACATTAACCACACTGAAGATTCGTTGATGATTGTCTAAAGTCTAAAGTAGTAGTAATACACTAATTCAAAAGCCTGGCAGCAAGGATTTCGAGTTCATCCTGCCGTTTAGCGTTGGGATCAATAGAAATGATCAGCGCAATGAACCAGTGTTCACTTCTGGACAGCTCCTAGTTGCTCCTTCACTCGGCCTGAATCAGAGGAAACGGTTCTCTACTTCTCAGGGGCAGACCTGAGTTCTCTCACTCTCTCAAGGCAAATCTCCAATCTCGGCTGAGACTCGATTCAACTCCCAATCAAATCAACGGAAAATGAGTCGATTTTTTCCCACTTGAAAAAGCTGTGTACGGGCAGAATGAGCTGGACCTCACCAATACTCAGAGTGTCAGACTACTGATCTTTCTCGTCAACATGGTTTCAGCTGTCCACTCTTCAAGCTTCACCTGGCTCGCTCAGGTGTCCACCGATCTTCAGCTGAGCCACTCCCGCATGTGTCCGCCACATCGCAAGGTGGGCCTCATCTCCATGTAGCAGCCAGCGCGCACCACTGGACGGCGGCCATCCTCAGCCTGGAGGATCTCCACAAATCAGACGGGCTCGTTGGGTTGGTTTTGGGGGTGGTTTTGGTTCAGTCTGGCTGTGTTGGTTGTGTTGGTTGTGTTGGGCACGAAGGGTTCTTCGAACAAGAGGGATGTTTCAATAGATGAGAAAAACACACACCCTCCTTGCAGAAATGTTGATGTTGTCGACCATGGTCTTTGGCAAACAATTTCCTGCCTTCCATGCGTTTCTAAGGGTAACAGCTCGAGTCTCCAAGCACGAAGTGTGCCCAGAAGTCTTGGTTTGGAATGCTTCTGTACGGCATTTACTTGGCCACTTAGTTACAGACCCCAAAGAGCAAAACGTCTGCAGCTTGTGGTGGAAGTGAGTGTGTTCTTCCTCGGGCTTTTTGCAGATGCAGGACGAGGAATAGCGTTGCCGACTCACCGACAGCCGTGAGGAAGCCAGGCTGAGAAACAGCGAGACCGGCAGAGACAACAGGAGCGAAGACCCGGCAGAGGCGATGAGCCGAAGACCAGAGGCGGAGCCAGACGAAAGCACAGTGAGACGGTGCCAGACGTGCCCGAAAGCAGACGTGCAGAGCTCCGAGCTTGCCTCGCAAAAAGAGGGTCAGCAACTACGGGGAGGGACCCAGTTCTCCAGATTACCCAAAGATTTGGCTCAACAGACCCAAGAAGTCAGAGAAACTGAAAATCTGACACTGTGTCAATGTGTGAGTCTATAGTTCAATAATGACCATCGAAACAGTTTGATCCACTCGACCAGGTGACCGGAGGACGCGCACCTGGGCCATGTCAAAGATTTGAGGGATGGTCCTCAGCAACCAAAAACAACCTAATAGCGCTGGCCTCCACTCTAGTGGCGATGGCCTCCACTCTAGTAGCGATAGCCTCCACTCTAGTAGCGATAGCATAGCCTCCCCCTCTCTAGTAGCCATACCTCACATGTGACAGGTAGTCTATACGACATATATATATATATGGATCATATGGATGCACGGTGCAGTTTACAGCGGGGATCACCCCAAGCTCGCACATCACCTCGCAATTTGACGCCGAGCAAAGAAACAAAATGCTAGAATGAGTGGTCTCATGCCAAGTTCAAATGAACCAGGTAGACTTCCACATGTCGTGGGAGTTTTGAACCTAATCGTGCAGTACATCTTGCGAACAAAGTTTTGAAGCAACACGAGAAAATCCTTCGTTTGGAGTCACACATTAAGTATCCACCCCGCCGCGATGAAAACGTCTTGAGCACTCATCTTGTGCACCATTTGTATGATTGATCCGTGAGCTGGACTCATCTTTATAAAGCAATCGTGCGGGACAGGGCCGAATCCACTTGAAAGCTTCCTTGTCTGCTCGCCCAACCCACCAACGTTCCAAGCCACCTGAGAGTGCAGAAAAGAATATCTATCGAAGAGGCCCCAGGTAGTAGCTGCTTGCAGATCACTCTCGCCACCTTTTTCCCAAGCACCCGACTAACACATCTACTAAGTATACATCTAAGTACACCTAAGTAGGAGCAAGAAGCTACTAGTAGCAAAGGGCCTTACTACTAGGAGCAAGGACGCTACTAGGGGCTCCTGGCATTACTACTAGGAGCAAGAAGCTACAAGTAGCAAGGCTAATAAGTAGCCTCACCTCACACGACCAGCACCTCTCGTGTCTGACCCCTCCGTGTAAAGAGACGTGAAGTGCATCTCTCCCATCTCTCCGTCTCGGCGCTGGTCGTTGGGCCAACGGAAGTCCAGGTCCTCCAAGTTCCGCCAAGGTCTCCAGAGCGCCTCACGCGTCTCTCCATTCACCGCAAAAGGCACCTGACGGCTTTGGAGCGCAGGGTGCAAATGCTTCGGGACTCTACCGGCGACGGAATGGCACTGTGTTGGTATACACTGGCCAGACAAAAGTTGTGCATCTTGAAACACAAAACTCATGTCAACTCTTACCCCCTAGAATCCTACATTGGGAGACCTGGGGCCGTGTGGGCGGTCATGTTTCACACCGGAAAGCCTTTTTTGATATAAACTCAAAACAGTGTGACAAAATTTGGACTTGGTAATTCGATCCGCAGCTGACCGTACTGCGTTCTTTAACATGGTCAACAAGCATGAACTTTTGATTTATCTGCATGATGTATATAGTCTTATATAGTAATATTGTCAAATGTTAAGGATACAGAAATACAGCAGCAAGCTCTACAATAGCAGTTTCCATTTTCGAAACTGCTACCAGTACTAGGTGAATCCAACCGAAAATGGGACAGACCAAAACCATCCAAAACCATTAGCTGACTAGTCTGTGTCTTCATGATGTGTTTTCGACGCACCTCACAGGTGGCCTCGGTCTGCAGAACAAAGATCACTCCTGAAGATCACTCTGGTCACGGATCTTTCAACGATGTCGACACATTCTTTCCGACAGAAGCCGCGCATCTTGGGGTCGACGACATAATGATCAATGATTGGAAACTGGAGAACGGCAAACCGGCAAGACCTACAATTGCTCGGTGACGATTCTCCTCGAAATAAGCCGCCCGAAGGGAGTTCAATGGTGGTCTCGAACCATCCTTGCAAGCCTCATGGCGTTTTTATTCAAGTTCGGCAAGCGCTGGCATGGTCTTTGAATCGAACATCTTAAACACCGGTTCCAAGAGGAGATTAATCAAAGTTCTTCGCTGAGAATCCACCTTGAAACCTTGATTTAAGCCACCAAAGAAGTTTCGCTTCTCTTGATCAGCTTCAAAACCGTCTTAGACGGTTGCAAAACCCTTTAAAGAAGAGTTCCCTCGATGTGTTCTCTCCAAGAATCCACAAATTGTTCCCTCGGCCCACCATGCACTCCTTATAGCAAATGGTTTTGTGTTTTTCTTTGTTAGCGCGGGGCCTCCAACCTAATAGCGTCCTTGCTCCTAGTAGCGATGCCCTTTGCTACTGCATCCTTGCTCCGTTCGTAGCGATGCCAGGAGCCCCGTTCGTAGCGTCCGATCGCTCCGAACTCGTAGCGATGGCCTCCAACCTAATAGCGTCCTTGTTCCTAGTAGCGTCCTTGTTACTAGTAGTAAGGCACCTGTTACTAGTAGCGTGGCACTTGTTACTACTAGCTTCTTGTTCCCAGCCCAAGAGGCCGAGAGGCGCGAAGACGGGAGCGGCGCTTGGCTTCCGGTCTCCTCGTAGAACTCCCGCGCCGCCGCATCCCACACGTTCAAGTCCGAGGCCTGGAGCTCTCCGGCCGCGGTCTGGCTCAGAGAAAGAAATTGCAGAAATTGAAAACAAAGAAGAAAGCGTTTAGAAAGAAATAAGAGAATAAAGAGAAGATTCATGAAGAAACAAAAGATTGGATTGTTGTTTGATTGAGGGTGTCTTTTGAAAGAAGTGTTGGCGTGGACACCTTGGATGAAGGTTGTGGGCCCCCACCAGCTCGGCGCAAGGGAAGTAACCATCCATGGAAAATGAGAAGAACTCATTTCTGAGACAAAATAAGGTCACTCTTTGGTTCTCTTCTCTAGTCTTACCGAAGAAAACAACATGGACCATTGATGACCTAATGCTTTTATGATTTGTGTGTGTGTGTCGCAGTTGTCGCAGTTAAGTGGCATGTTCCTCCTCCCTGGCGCCTCAATCATTCCACCAGGCAGCTGCCAAAGCCCACTCTGCCGGCCCCGTACCAGGAATAGTTCCTCGCCTAAGCCGCCATTGAAAGGTCCTCCGACCTCCTCAGTTTGCCCAGACTGTTCTCCACCCATTGGATTTCGATTAAAACCCAATTCCCAACAATTCCGGTGCTGAGCTGGGGAAATCGTTAGACCTCGGTGTTTCATGGTCAACCAAAAGATGGGATCCAAATAACTCCAGGATCCACCAGCGACCCCCACCGGGCCCAACGGATTGGGCGACTGGCTCTTCGTCACGACGGTCGACCCGGAAATCTCGTCCACAGACGTCGTTAGCGCCCATGGTCGACCCTCCGGCGGCCTCGAAAGAGCGCTACAAAGGCAGCGGACACTTGCTCCTGACGCAGCGAACGGAGCCCATACCCGTGGCTTCCCCATACCCTGAAGTAGCCCAGAGCAGGCGAACGTATAAAACCATCCCAAAACACCCCCCCTGCGAGAAAGCAACCGTTTCTTTATCTTTTGCTCAGCCACCTGTCCTCAGCTAGGGCTACAAGTAGTCACTGTACATCTTGCGATGAATCATGAGAACACAAAGAGTCGCTCTGTCGGTGGAACCAAAGGTCCGCTGACGTCATTGTGTTCTGCTGATTCCTAGCTGCAAAAGCTATTAGGTTGGAGGCCCCACACGCTAAATCGCAGCAGCGCATATTTTGCACCCCAAACAATTTGATGATACACCCTGTCAGCTCGCAAGATATCTAAGAAAAGATCTCAGTAGGAGGTACTGTAATGGGCTAAACGAAGGGTTTCTAGGATTCTTCGCCAGGAGCCGCCACCAGCCACGACCGGAGCGTCCTTGTAGTGCCGCACCAAGGGCAGCTCCGCCCGAAGCTCCTAACGCCGAACCGGATCGTCGAAGCCTCCAAGCTATAGAGCGAGAGAGAGGAAGAGAAGAGAAGAAGAAGGAGAGCAAGAGAAAGAGAGAAAGAGAGAGAGAGAGAGAGAGAGATGAAATGAGAGAAGATGCTCCATCCCAATTCTCCGTCCTTCTCGTGTTGGATTGGGGTGTTGGATCAGCTTCGTTCCCCAACTGTCGTGACGACCCGTCTCTCATCGTGATTGACCTCGTCTCTTTGGATCGAATCGACGGCGAGCGGTTCTCTGCGGTCCCTCGGCGGAGGAACACGCCAAGCCGCCGCCGCCATGGCAACGGCGGCAACGGCGCATGGCTGCGATGGCTGGGCGTCCGAACTGGTCTTGCGAAGGTGAACTGCACAGAACCAGATCTTCACGTCAAAGCAAAATGGTTGACGTCTCTCAAGCAGTTTGGTATAGCTTGGTGGAGAAGAGCTCTTTGTCCAGTCAAGCGCCATGCATTCCAAGAAGCATGCCCATCCCGCTGCAAGCACGAAAACAAGCTCTTCGAACCTCTCTTCCACTCGGACATGTGCCACATTCAAAATCAGTGCGCCAAAAATCAACTGTTCTCATGCCCGGCCGGGCAACTCCATGGAAACACATCTCCATCTTCCCTCAAGTCCCTTTCCCCAACATCTCACCACTCCTCCCGACTCCTCCTCCCGCTCTGCTCTCGCTCTGCTCTCGCCTCCTCGAAGCGAAGCTGCGCCTCGGAGGCCTCGGGTGGCACGTGGTGCCGCAGCTGCGCGTGCCACAGCTCCTGGGACCGGGTCCATGGCTCAGGTGGGAAAATAATAGCAAACATTGTTACGAGTACTACTAGTAAGGCACACTAGTAGCTTCTTGTTACTATGTTCGTAAGGCACTTGTTACTACTAGCGTGGCACTTGTTCCTAGTAGCTCTTGGAAAGAATGGCTGGGAGGTGTGCACCAACTGTGGTGATGCTTCAAGCTGTGGTAAAACTTTGGTTTGCTGTGGTGCAGCTGCCACACAACGAATCAATCTAAGCAACCAAACACTGAGACAAATAGACTGCCTGACGGGTTCTGTCAAAACATCTTGAAACATCAAGGCAGTCTCTCTACAGCGCCGACAGTTGCCCCCATAGAAGTGAACAATCCAAGAGGCCTTGTGTCAGAATTTGGCACAGGGCTGCGCGGAGGCCCGGGTCACAGCCCGGGCACGGCGCAGATCTCAATGAATCTGTGCCCAAAAAGGGGAAGAATTTGGATCCCCGGGCACGGCGTTTCCATGGTGAAGTCATGGAAACGCCCCATGTTGTAGCTATGAAGACGCTTTTTCGTCGTCTCAGAATATGTGTAAATGGTAACGAGGATGAATTTGGGACTGTTGCCTTGTTGGTTCGCTTTCACATCCTCGAGCGGCGGTACTCAGAAAGCCAACACACGCGTGCCGAAAGCGGCGGCGTCTTCCGCGTCAAACACTCTCGCGGTGCTTCTCCTCTCCGGGCTTCAGCACGTCAGCGGCTTTTGCCGGGCTCACCGCCGGCAAGTGGCTGAACTCCACCTGGTTCGACCACTCGGCTGCACCAGGTCCTGCGTCGCACAAACCGGTGCGAGCACGCTCCTTGCGTCGGACTGGTGTTGGGGTGAAAAAGCCATGGCTTTTTTTGTTTTTCAGAGATTGAAACCGACTTCTCGCCGGAAGACTGGATCTCGTCCAGATATCGGCTCAAATCCTGTGCAGAACTGTCACTAAAGGGCCGACATCGGTCAATTGAAACGGACTTCAAAGAAGAAGAATGAGACTGCATCTCGAATTCTGCAGGTACCGTGAGACTGACTTTCTCAATCAGGTGGTGATCTGGCTTGTCTTCTCCATGCAACTAGAAAAAAACAACACACAAAAGGCGTTTTATGGCCATACTCAGTATGGATCTCCAATGCTCACCCCAAGTTCCCCCAAAGAGTTGACCCACACGAATCGTCCAAGTGGTCCGCCGAAGTGGTCCCAAGCTATATCGCCGTGCCTGCCGCGTGACAGTGCTTGTTGTAGTCGGTCACAGCAAGCTCCAGGATTGGCTGACTGCTGAAGAGCTTCTTCGACCTCCAGCTCTAGCTGCTTTTTCATCAGACTGGAGCTGCAGGACTCACCAGAAGTTCTGTGATCCATTCTGAATGGCTTGGGATGTGCTTGCATCCAAGAAAATGAAGAGAGCAAAGGAATGCCCAGAATCAAGTAGAATGAAATCCCCACTCTTTTGGTCACAATTGGTCGTAAAGGATCACTGAATGAAGCCTGACTTGCTGGAGCTTGGTCCAAAGGAGTGTCTGTCCGATCACGACAAGGACGCATGGTGTCTCTCCAACCTGCGGTGTCTCTCCAACAGAAGCGTCCTCTTGGCATCCTTGAGAACACATCTGTTAACAAGCAGGTCCACCCTAAGAATATCCAAGAAGCAAGCTCCATCCTATAGCAAAGGAAACCGCTCATATCAGATTCTGCAAGTCTCCGCTTCAGTGGGAATAGCCCAAAGCTAGCGCTGTGGTGCGCTCGATGGTTCCTAGTACCAACAAAATCCTTCAAACACCACAGTGAAGGGTATGTGTTTCTTACATGTCTTTGGGTCAAAACCTATTCATCTCTTGGGTCGTCAAAAACCTCCACATGGCCAGGGCTGGATTGATCTGAGTGGCAGCAGCACCAGGAAGAGCACCAAGGTAGCGGTCGGCATCAACAACCTCGGCTCGTTCTGTCAGCTCTCCACAAGCGGTGGCTGGTCGCAGGGAAAGCCAAGCCTCTGGCCTAATACGTTAGACTCTTAGACCAATCCCCGAAGCTACCGAAGATTGAGGTTCAGCCTCCATGTGATTTACGATGTGCTTATCTAATCTAAAATGACTGGTAAGACCTATGCATGCCATGTTATTTGAAAAGTGCAACATCTCTTCTCCCTTTCTCAGCTAACATGAGTCTCAAAGGCATGGTTTCAAGAAAATTACCTTTATTCCTGGTTTTTTATTGCTAGGGCCACCCAAATCTAGCACAGGTATCGACAAAAAGAAGGCAAAAAATATCCCGAAGAGAAGATGTGGACCTCTTTCCACCGAAAAGGCCATCATCCATCCAAATCACTACGTATGAGGCACGATGGGTGAGCCTTTTCTGCTTGAACCCAACACGAAAATGTGGCCACTCCGATTCTGATACATGCTTGAAACAGATACCTTACTATACGGACCGGAGCCATGACCTCTCCGGAACAGCCGTTCGCGCCACGCACCGGCCCCCCAAACGGCTCGGCACCCCCACTGGCAGAGCACCCCACGACGATCCCGGAGACCGTATTTGAGGCGCTTCTTCAGCAGCGCCTTGCAGCGATCGCGCGATCGCGCGGAGACGCGACGCAGTCGACAGCTTCGTCGACTGCGTCCGATCGAGGTCGTCCGAAGTGACTCGACGTCGCACGGTGTCGTTTTCGGAGGTGGCGGTTTTGGGGGGGGCAGAATCGACACGTACGACGCCGGTGGCACGGGTAGAAACATGGTAGAACACCACATCAGAAACATGGAAAGCATGTCTCGGAAACTCCATCAGATCCGTCGTGAGGCTTGCACTCCAAATACAAATTGATCAAGTTTCACATGTATTACCGGAGATGTTGCGATCACTTCGAAGTAGATCTCGATCGCATGAGGCACGCTTGAGCCACACACACGTGTTTGATGTGACTCCCACAAGGCCAAAAAACCGGCATCATCAAAAAAACAGAACATTTGAAAAAAAATGTGCAAATTACTATTCTGCAGATCATCCCCAATATGTCCAAATCTATATAGATCTCCAGATCTTCTGCCCACATCCACATGCTATCATCTCTCCAGTCGGACCCTCCTGCGTCTGCCGTGGGCAATGCGCACCGCGGGCCATTGGCGCAGCTTCATCTTGAACGAGGCGCACTTCACGAGCAGCTCCGTGTGGCACCTCGCGAGGTCCGGGCCCGCATCACGCCAAGCTGGCCACAGCTGGCCACAACAAAAACTCTGAAAAGGGGACACTCAAAGATGATTCTGAGTAGCTAAACCAAACTTTAAAGACAATTCTGGCTTTGATGAAGGCTAAATGGAGGGTGTGTGGAGAACGGGGGGGGTCAGTAAAAACCCTATCTGTGCACTACCCTTCCGTTTGCCTCTGGCTTTGAGACCACCGTTGCGATCCATCAGTGGCACACGAGGACCATTCGGGGGTATGCATCCCTGCCAGACTCGCCAGCTGGTCGTTCCAACACGCGTCGGCCTGAGGTTCTGTCTCCCCCACTTCACCCAACTCGATGTACCTCGGAATGCGGAATGTACTCGATGTACTCAATCTTCGCGCGATTTGCAGTTCATACACGCCGTCGCTGGTAGGTTGGAGGCCATCGCTACTAGGTTGGAGGCCATCGCTAGTAGGTTGACTCCGTGGAGACTCCTAGAGACAGTGACTTTGTCCACTCAAATTCTTGATCAATCCTTCACAAAGAGCATCTCACAACACCACAATGGTGTCACGGCATTGAAGGTAAAACGAAAAAAGGGTGCGGATGGATGCGGTTACAAAACTGTTGCCTTCAAGAGATCCTCTATGCAGCTTGCTTGCTTGCTTGTGGGGACATCTGCATCCATCAGAGATAAGTCCTTTTCAAACTCCACTCCCCACCTCCGGCTAGTAGAGGAGTCATTGTCAAAATCCGCCCGCGCCGAAGGTGCCGAGGGGCCGAGGGCGTTATGGAGACTCGGGGCAACAGCAATCGGAAGAAATCTGCTAGATAAGTCTTAAGCTTTAGCTTGGGGGGGGGGGCGCGTTTGCTCGTGCTTGACAGTGTTTTCTGGAGGTTGATAAAAGTCGGTGTGCTTTTGAAGCAACCGTTGGCGATGCCAGTTGTGCCAGCCGAGAGAGATCGCATTATTGACGTCGTGGGTGTGTTCGTCCGTGTGTCCCGCCCGACCGAGACAGACAGACTGACAGACCGAGATAGACAGACTGAGACACGCTTGAGCCCGGTTAACAATTCCTCCCGGCTCCGAGAGCACAAGTTGCTTGTTCCCGGCTCCGCGAGCGCAGGTTGCTGCCGAGCCGGTAGGGTGCTAATGACACACTTTTCCCATGTATGTCTGGATGTGTGTCTGAATGTGTGTCTGTCTGTTGTCTATGTCTGTATGCGTATGTTTTCCCTTTACTCTGTGCGGGCGGCTTCGACCGCGAAGCGGCGTGAATATTTGGCTAGGATTGCAGTTGTGATGGAGCAATGGACTGGGCCTTTAGGATCCTAACAAGGTACATTGGAGTTGACCTGAAACATGAAGTAGCAGTGCAAAAAAGTAAGGAGCATCCTAATTTCATGATACCCTTCCAACACCTCCTGTCAGCCTACTCTCACGCCCGGTTGCTCCATGTTCGTCTGCGGTGACGTGGGCGAGCTGGGAGCGCGCTTGGACCTGCACAACCGCAGCTGGACCGCTCCAGCTCTAACAGAACGATGCACGGACGCCACTGTCTCCGCACACGACGGCGCCTGGGCACCACGTCTCCAGATGCCACCTTCAGAAAGACCTGGCAGGTCCGTGACGGGTGCGGCGCGTGCCCGTCGACGGGTTCGACGCAGTTTGACGCAGTTTGAGATACTCAGCAACAGTGGTGAGGTTGAGGCCACAAGCAGTCCAATG